CAATTTTGCTATCCAGTGATGTTCTGTAAGTATGAAAGAAACAGAGAAAACTTTCTGAAAGTGCATAGCATTAAAAATCCAAAAATGACCACTCACTACAAAAAACTAGCCCATTTTCTTCCAGTTGTTGAAGAACTTTGTATTACAAGCAATAGTTTTAATTCTTTATCCTGTCATATCCTAAGCCAAGCTTCAACTGAAAATCATGTTTCCTGTATGTGCCTAATTCCAGCTACAAGTAAACATTATCTAAGTTTCAGAAGTGCATATTGGTGTAAGAGTCATCGAAAAAATTATATCTCCCCCAATAAATATATTTAAATACTCCGATGTCGAGCGAACGTTGGTCCTTGGAGGAGCAGCGGACGTTGAACATTGGACGAGCGAATGATATTGACGTTGGAGCGCTGAGCGTCACCGTGCTCCCAAACGCATTTTGTAATTAAGCCTAATACACAAAAAATATTTCTATAAAATCAGCTATTGCCATTTTTATCTATGAAGATTTAAAGCTGTTGTTCCTTACCTAATTAGAAGCGTTTTTGTGGCAGCACGAGGAAGAAGAAGAAAACGATTTAAGGTGCCATGGAAATCACAAACGATTTCTATTTTTACTATTTTTAGATTCTAACAGTTTGAGAGAATAACGTTTAAAAAGTTTTGTGAGTGTTTTCAAAATGAAAGTAAATAAAGGGTTTTTTAAATACAGTCCACTGAAATTTTTGATGTAACAAGTGCCTATAATCATCAACACTGGTTGCACTGAGTGTAGTGTTTCTAAATTAAGAACGCGCGATCTTTAGTATCGCGCATTATACTTTTGTGGAATAAAATATTAAATAATATTAATCACAACAGTGCTACTATTCTAGATATTTTATTCAATAAGTTTTCGCAGCATTCTGACATAATTTATGCTCATTTAAAATCTGAAATGAAACATTTAGTTTCAATGTATCATGTCTGAGACAGTAGGCCGTCAGTAACAACTAACTTTCGTATTACACTTGATACGGAGGGCCCACGTACAGCTGTATCATAAATGATGCGCTAGGAGCGAAGAAATTAAGGAGAATAATTTTTACCTTTATTAATTAATACTGTATAACAATTCTAACAGTAAATAAATTAAACATATTCGTGATGTATCATAATACTATGATTAGAATTCTATGATTTTTTAAAGATTTAAATAATGTTATATTAAATATTAAATAATTTTATTTTTATTTAAACTAGTTAATTAGCTAATTTAATCAAATTTAATTCGAATTTAATCAAATTTAATTCGAAAAGATATCAGTTAATTTTGTTTTAAGGATAGTATGCATAAATATTACAAGTGGTGTAAATAAAATCTATGAAATATTATTATTGATTTCTTAAATTGCAACAACAAATAAGTTTTTTACTTCATATTAGTTATTCAGAATTAATTACATTATGCATTTCTTTGTGTATCTTAAAATAGATAGCAAAGAACTTTTATTGCAGTATATGACGTATATGCATAACGAACGTCTTTAGAATACTAAGATATAACTTTATAAATTACTTTGGAATAACTATTTTTCACTTTGCATTTCTGAAAAATTATTATTAAGCTCTGTGGTACATACTTTGAATTGTAATAATGTATCAGAACTATTTGGATGTATTTTATCGAATGCGGTCTAGTGGCGACGAAATCAAACTTACAGAAGCTGATCTCCAGCGACGATGGTAATAGTTTCTCCAATATTAATACGTTTCCGTGACTCGAACGTTAATTCTAAATGTTAGGTGATCCGTTTTGATGCCTGTTTTGCTTTGATGTATATTTTTCTAACTATTCTTGTGCTCTATTAATAAACAATTTTGAAGCTGGCCAGCGTTTATGGTTATAGAAGAAAGGTTACAGTAATACTATTGTAATAAATTTTGCATATTGCTGTAACATATATTTTGCATTTTTGCTTTGCACTTCTCGAATCTTGTCAAGTTTTTTAATCATATGGATGATATATAAAGAGGTAAGTAATTAAATGAAGAAAGAGGCTGGAGTTAGGAGATTGTGTGACTTAAACTGTGTTCGTGGAATCAAATTTTTTGAATTTTTGATCAAATTTATAATTTTATTTAAAAAAGTGTGAATGTCGATATAGGAAGTCAGTACTGTCTATCATGTTTAATGGAATAATTTATTAGATTTTCTTTCTTAAAATACGGGAAATCATTTATTATTATTTTCTTCATTTTTTTGTTTCTCGTAATTTACCAGACTGGAGGATCTTCGAAAAAAATACATTTAGTTTCCCTTAATATTTTATTATAAAGGTGTTACTATTAATGCTATATATGGATACAATTTTAATTTTTGCTGCTGCTACTTAAATTATCTATCCTTTATTTCCATTCAAAAGTATTTATTACTAGCTTATTTTATGTTTAAGCAAACTACTAATCCTTTAAAACTTTTAAACTTATAATACGAAGCATATTTCAATTTACTCAAAAAAGCATAAAATCTGCTGCCGTGCGTGAAAGATCCACACAACGAATTTATTAACTGTGCAACCCTCGGGATTACGCATAGCAATCATTTTCTTTTTAAGGACGCTAGATGATTATGATGATTTTCGCGATGCTGTTGAAACAGATGTATCCGTATGCTCGCAATCAGCAAAAAAGTAGCCATCGGTCTGATGACTACAAGAAATTCAACTCTGATGCTGAAAGAAGAAAGAAAACTAGGGAAAGAGAATATAGTAAGTACTCAGGTGGCGTAAAATCAGAGCAGCTCCAATAAAATACAAGTGGGAGGCAATGGATATTCCGCACAGCAACTACTTCAGAAATTTATCAAAGGAAAACTCGATGAAACAAATTCAAATGAGTCTGAAAATAACGAAACTGAACTGACTAATTAAAAAATAATCCTCCCATCATCATAACTTCAGAAAAAAATTAACTAGATCAGTATTTAAGCATTCGGCAGTTAAGAATTTGAAGCAAACGTGAGGAAAGAAGCTATCATCGTAAATGTTAATGTTTCATTACCATTCCACGCTTACCAGATGGATAATGGAAAGATGGTCAAAGCTATCACTAAGAGACCGAACAAGAAACGGAGATAAGGAATTACTACAAATTTAGTTTAGTGAAGTAACTAAAAACGCTGAGGAAAGAGCAATATTTCAAGTTAATAACATCTTCAGTATTAAAGCCAGAGTTCAAATTTTTCGTGCAGAAACCGCCCGACTCCAGTGTTACAAGGCCAGAGCTTCGGGTACACTCAACATTTTTAATTTAAAAAGAAAAGCTGCGTCAAGTATGTCTTATCATAGAGAAGATCCTTATGTGAAATTAAAGAAATTCAGAAGCCCATCTATAGATTTTGCCAAGGAGAAAGTGTAAATTCCTACAGAAGATTGACAGCTAATAGAAAATCATTTCTTGAAAGAAGAATGTCCATCTATTATTGATAAGATACCTGAAAAAAAAACTGCAGATAAATCTGAAATATACTTGTAAAGCGAAAAGCTAAAGATAAATTTTCCTACTGAATTAAGTAGAGCACAACATTAGAAGGTGTATGCAAGAAATTTAACATATTCATTAACTCTATAAAAAAATTTTAAGTCACCATATGACGACATAATAATCTTTTTAGTTTCATAGGGCGACTTGATAGCTTTAGAGCTACTGAAAATCTCATCCGTGTCGCAGAGGAAGAATATTAATTCTTCTGACCAACAGATAGCGCCACAGAAGCCTCATATCGTCTCCCATCGCAGCAGCGCCGTTTAGGTGTAGCACGCCAGCATATTTCATCTCATGCTGATTATTGCTTTAAGTCTAAATCTCTCTAACGTGAAATACTATCGCTCTTCATTCCTCCATCAGAATTGATATACTAACCATAGAAAAGCTATTGTTACCAGGAACTTTATTATACACAGAGTTGAACTACGTCTGGGTGCTCGTGTAACGCAATTGCATCGATTAAGCAGAATAGAGTTACCTGCAAATTGCAAAGCACTAACTTCTTCGTACTTGCAAATACAAAGAGCCAGACAGATGAAACAAACGGAGCAGGAAAACGTATCAGCATAGTGGATAGCTTTCAGCTAGTCATAATAGCTAGAGGTGCTCGTAGCCATTTTATTTTCTCCTTGCCTCCAGGATAGCTTCTGATTAATATTTCATCAATATTTCGCCCACCAGATGGTTAGGGGATCCAACTGCAATACCAAAAAGCACGGGTTCGAATCCCGGAGAAGGCAGGGTTGTAAGCCCACCTATTAGGTGCCTCCATAATAAAGTGACCCCCACTTCTGGCCTTAGTAGTGGCCAAGCCGAAGTTGGCTGAGCTTCCGCCATTCGGGAAAAAATTATCAATTCATAGCTGTGGCGTTTTTTCAATTTTCCATTTTGAAAGCTTATGATTCTTTATGAAGAAAGATAGTTGTCTCTTTCTTCATAGAGAGAGATTCATTCTACAGAGTCAAATCTAAAATTATTTGTTGTTTTCGGATCTCCACGTTTTTTCTTTCTTTTCCCTCTTGTAGGTGTAAGAAGTGCTGTAGGTACTCTGATGTTCAGCAAAAGTTGAAGCTTGTAATTAAAATCTGAAAATTTGTTCACTTTGATCCTATTTAATATATTTCTATCTCTTTCTTTTTCCAAAACACTTGAAATTCTCTTTTTTCAGCCTAAAGGGCGTTAGCCTAGAAGGGCTATTAATTTCGTTTGGCATTTTGTTTTGAAAACTTTAAATATCTATTAATTTTTAAAACTGTTGCCACCAAATATGAAAGCCCTGTATTATATTTAAAGAAATTAAATAATGAACAACTACGTATGTTTCTCTTATTGTGATAAAGCAAAGATACCTAGAGCCATCAAATTTTGAATAACAAACGTTTCCACTCGAATATTGACATCTGGAAGACCAAATTTCGAATTTGGATTAAAAAAAAATTTTTTTTGAGAAATTTGCATTAAAAATAGTTATTTTCTTCTTAACAGGAAATGACAACTCAACATCCTGTTCAAACGCAGCGACGCCGTAAGAACAGTATGTTAAGTATTATACTTATTTACCGTATCGTTTGAAAATCATAATTAAACGAAATGAGCCATTCTAATTCTAGCAAAGTAAGTGTCGAAACAATTTTTGTAAACCTGTAAAATTCTTTCAATCTATATTTATTCTAAATTATGTTATTCTTTGTTTGTGAAAACTGATAAATGGGCGGCAAATTCGACATTGCTGCGTGTTCGTAATGATTGTTTGTTTACATTTTCCAAGCTTATTTTAGTAACGTTTTTGTAATTTTTGTCTTTGTCAGATAATTTGTGAGTTATGTCTGAATCTCAAATTATAATATTGTTTGAGCAGTACACATGATTACATTTCATTCAACGATTTTTATTGTTTAAATTGACTTTAGCGGCTTTTGCTTTATTTTCGTGTGAGCTTCATGCTTCATCTTGTCCTAAAATTGTTTAATTTTTTACGGTATTTACTTTTAGTATTAGGAAGCAAGTATGGTGCTATGATTTCACTTTCGAAAGATGGTAAAACTATATTTGACGGTGCCCCCTTGGCAAACTTGGCGATTTTTGGCGGTACATGGACACAGAGTTTATGCTGTTATTTGATTTGTTTAGCAGCGATTTTCGCGGTAAAAATCGCCGCTAAACAAAGCCAAAATAACTAGTCAAAGAAATGCACAAACTTGGTATCCATGTACACATCGACCTATTTTCACTTAAAAAAATTCACAGAATTGCACAAACTCCGCATTGCGCACAAAAAATATATAATCTCAATAAACTGCGTTTTAAATCAAACGATGAAATAACATAAAAAAGCATTACACACTACACAAAGGAAATAGCCACGTATCTTATTTAGAAATTTCTCTGTCTTCAGACTGTGGCACACAAAATTCCTAAACAGCATCCAAAAACTTTCCTCAAACCATGTTCCCTTTCTAACAGAATGCTTTATATGGTGACCATTTGAACCTTTCTTACACCAAACCCATTCAAAGCCATCGGAATGATCTTTACGTTTGACCATATGCATTTCCTTTGTACAAACAGGACACTTATAATTACTACTAAGTAAACCTTCATTTATACACCAGTCAATTAATGCTCCCCCTTTCGTTCCAAATCCTATAGAAATTTCAAATTAATCTTACCACATTCAGCCATTTCAGTTGCTTATTTTGTATAAGCAACTTCCTAACCAACATCCAACACACAAACAAGCCCTTACAAATCTTTTCTCATCAGTCAAATTCACGCAACCAATTATGTCATAATAAGGTTTTCGTAACATTCAACTACTCAGGTTACCATAAATGAAACAACAACTTGGCGATAATCCAACAGGCATCCTTTACTCAGGTTCCCATAAATGAAACAACTTGGCGAGGGCACCGTCAAATATAGGCTAGCTGGAGAGATTTTTTATGTATTGGAAAAATTACTTACTTAATATTTGCTGTTACTAGTAAGTTATATTTGGCAAAATTTTTTCAAAATTGTCTTTAAGAAGATTTGGCTAATCTTTGGAATAGGTAACAGGTAGTTTGGCGACATTTTGGTAAGGCGATAAAGGTTACTAGCTAGGACTTTAACAGGTTACATGGATAAAGTCAAGAGCATGCACAATGCCATTTTTGTGCAATTGTGGGATATTTTTTTATGTGAAAATAGGTCGAGGTGTACATGGATGATACCATGTATGTGCAATTCTTAAAAACACGGCAAGCAGTGTGCGATTCAGCACTTTGTCCCAATTTCGCACCTAATCTTCGTCATGATGAAGCACTTTTGTTCCATAAAAGTTGTAGCCTAAGCGTAATTCGGCTAGCAGATTGTTGGGAAAAAATGTTGAGTAAAAAAAAAAAATAAATAAATAAAAAAATGCCTTTACTTTGTGAAAACAAAATGGTGTCCAAACAAAAACTAGCAGGGTTGGTCGCCAAAAAATCACCGAATTACCATAATCCAAAGATTAACCGAAGATCTATTTTTTTCAGAACAAATTTTTATTTCTAATTATAGTTATAAATAATTTTAATTATGGTTCATTATAATTATAGTTTAAATTATGATTGCAGTAGTTGTTTGTATAAATTTTTATTTTGGCTGCAATATTAAACTTTTCATTTCTTTGAATTTTTAAATAGGCAGATACTTTTTTTAAAAATTCTTACTTCAGGTTGGTGAGATATTTACTGCTGCTGGTGCTGCATTCACTAAATTGGGTGAACTTACAATGACTCTTCATTCAGTTGGTGAGCCTTCACCATCAAGGTATGTTTCTTCTTTTACTATTTACATAAGAATGATAATTATAAAGAATTTCTGGACTAGTAATTTATAACATCAGGTGTCCAAAAAGTAACTGCAGTGCACTGTAAAGAAAATTTTGAAATGGTATAGTAATTTTTTAGATATTTTCACATATGATATTGCTAATGTGAGGCCGGTAACTGCCATTAGATGGTGTTTACTTTAGGTGGCATTACTATTGTTAAATTATTCTGTCCATATTGGCTCACTTGACTGAATGACAGCAGCAATGCACGTCATGTTATCATAGTGTTGAATGGTAAACAGAAAATATTCCTGGTGGACCACGTTTCATTATAAATAAAAATTCATGGATACTGTGCAAAAAATGTTTATAGAAAAATATGTAAATGGGAAAGTGTCTCACTGTAATGCACTGCAAAACCTCGTAACTAAACTTTGCAATACAGGTAGTGTTATGGATGCTTATTGAACTAGTCAACTCTCAGCCTTAGAAGAAAGTGTTGGAAATTAATGACATAATACTGGGAAATCCAAACAAATCTGTGAGATGAATATATCAGCAGGTAATATGTCGAAGGATTCAGTGTAGAATGTTTTGGGAAAGAAATTCTTTCCATGTAAGCATCTATAGTGCAACAGTTGGAAGAGGTAGGTCGTGGGGTTCACATTGATTCTTACAGTTGCTTCTGTCCTTTTCTTTATGGTGCTGGTGAGGGCATTATTGACATAACCTACTTTAGGAATGAGATATGATTTCTGCTTTCCAGGTATGTTTATAATTAGAATACTCGTGTTTAAGCAAGTACAATCCTTATGATTAGAAGGAAATTCTACATGACCAGAAGATCAGGATACAGTGAGCACTAAGTCAGCATCATGCTGTAGACCAGTATCTTTTGAAATACCTTCGACATTCTGGCAAAAATTGTTCATTGTGTAATCCTGATTAAAAGTATATCCAAAGAAGTTCTATTTATTCATTCCAAAGATGGAACACACTTGATACATATGAAACCAGTCTGCTTCATTACCAGCCCTTCTCAAACAGTTATTACAAAAATAAATATTACATCACTGAAATTCTAGAGGTCCAGCTGAGCAAGTGTAAATTCAAGATGGTTGGTTCCAATAAGACTGGATAACTACATGAATGGCCAGGGCCTCATTCCAGGTTTTAGATTTCTTCGTTGATTGCATAATCTCCTGTGGAATTTGGCCTGTAGATTCCCAGATCTCAATCCCCTGGATTTTTGTTTTTTGAGTTCACTAAAGGAGCAAGTATATAAGTATAATCTTCACACTACTTGGCACATCACTCAGACTATTCTAGTAAACCTCCAATATGCATTGTGAGCATACATTTCTTTAGGTCATAGAAGGCAATTTCTAACATCTGGCATGGATAAAACCAGGGCTGTGGAGTCGGAATCGGAGTCTGGCAGATTCTGGGTTAACCCTTTAACTGTCAAGTTATTTTGATGATTTGGGTACACAAATTGTCAAATTTTTTTATTGGAAAAACCAAATGTAGCCGAAATAAACATCTCCCGATATATATTCGGGTGTGACAATACGATGCACTCAAAAAAAAATTACCCCGAGAAATACTCGGGCGTGAAATTTTCGAACACCAGTATCTCGGGCATGACAGTTAAAAGGTTAAAAGGAGTCTGAGCTGGATTCGCTAAAAACAGGTCGACTCCGACTCCGGTTTTTGTTGGACAGTTTGAATTTTAAATGAAATTAAAATGAATTGAAAAAATTAATGGCAAGCTGAGTTATTATTTATATTTATGGACTGTATACATTAATAAATAGTTATTTTCTATATTATTGACATGTTAAATAAATATAAGGGAGGAGGATGGATGTGATATTTGCTGATTCCTTTAGTTACAAATCTCACTAGTAAATTTAGGTAAGCAGCAATAGCAGCAAGAACTTCCAAAATTGATGCCATTCTTAGGAAGCAAGCAGGAAAAGAAGCAATTATTGATCAAGCAATGTGATAAGGAAGTACATATTTGGTGACAAAGAGGTTTTTAGAATTAAGAACTTTTTTAGAAGATGTAGATAACCCTAATGTTTCACTAACAGAAAGACTGCAATGATCTTACAGAATTGGAAACTCTTCTTTCTACACCATATATAGCCACAAAAAAGCTGCAATCTGAAGAATTCACAGGAGGCGAGAATGGAAGAATGGGATGTTTGTTCTTTCTGAAATGGAGGGTATATTGCAGAAGGAGTCATTTCTTCAATGAAGAAAAGAGAAACTAGTTTGCTAGACAACGAGATCTTCCTGTGTTCAATATATGTATTGTTACGAATTTTGTATTTAAAAAGCTAATGTTAGTTCAATTAATTAATGGTTTTTTCTCGCGCAGTGCAGCGTTACGAATATTAAAAAAGCTAAGCTGGAAAATTGAAAATACAGAGTGCGGGCATTAATAAATAAAATGTGTTTTTTGATTTCGAGAACGTACTAAAATTCTAGCGCGTGATTTTAGAATCTATGAAAGGGGAAAACATCTCAGTCGTAGTAGTTGCTTAGTTGTTGTTGTTTAGAAACTGCTCTTGTTGACTGTAGCAAATTCACGGATTAGCTTTCTTTAGCTGTTTTGAATTACATTCTATTGGACGTTTGAGTAGTTAAAAGATAACTACTGTGAGATATTGTAATACTGCATGATAATTTGAGAAATTTAAGCATTTTTGTTGTGATAATAATAAATTTTTGTTCATTTTTCATCGGACTTGTGCATTCATTTCATAACGAACCCGTACGCACGCAACAATATATATATTTTTCTTATAACATAAATTGTGTGAAAATTGTTTTGGAATATGAAACAAAATTAATTTACCCCACTTGAAAATCACTAAATGACGTTAAGTGAAAAAATTAATCTCGAATTTTTCTAATTTATATTTTGAAGGAAGACGAAAAAGATACCAGATTTCGAAATTAGTTGTTTCTGTCAATTTTTGTCCTTTGAGAATCATTTTGTGCTTTATCTTATGATATAGACGTATATTAAAATAGTTATAAGGACAGGAAGATCATAAAAGTTAGATTTTGTAGTTTTACGAAATAATTAATTTATTTATTTTATTTAGACAAGACAAAATATGAATATTATCATTCATTAATTTTTTAGATGGAATTATATATGTACGACTAACGACTACAAAAGTAAAAAACCACATGTATGCTTTATGGGCATTGTGTGTATCATTATTAGAGCTCTTGTTTAAAATATTTTCATATAAAAGCCATTTCATTTTGCAAGAATTATGAAATTTCAACAGCTATATCATACTGTAATAACTAGGAATTTTAAGCATTTTTGTTGAGATAAAAATAAATTTTTGTTCATTTTTCATCGAACTTGTGCGTTTATTTCGTAATGAACCCGTATGCACGCAACAATTTTTGGTGTCAGGAGTGGGATTTGAATGCCAATCACAAGAGCGATGGAAGAAGCAGTTGAGGACAGTTGATATCAGCCTTTGCCTGCGTTAAAGAGGAAATGAAAACGGGCAGCAAGAAATGAAAGCGGGACAAGAAGAAAGAAGAAATGAAAGATGAGATGAATCTGGTCAGGAAAAGATGGAAGCAGCTCAGAAAAAGATGGAAGAATCCGTTAAAAAGAAAATGGAAGCCGTTCACGAAAAGTTGGAAGTTGGTGAAGTAACTTTTAATTACCATCACTTGGCTAATTAAAAGCTGTACAAGAAAAGATTGAAGCAGGTCAAGACGAAATGAAAAAGAAATAACCTGCGTAATAGAAAGTAAATTTGAGGCTATAAAAGACAGAATAGGAGCTTCGAAAATAAAGTCGGGCAAATTGAAGAAAAGGTTTCTTCTGTCAAGATGAATAGAAGATTAAGTATCGGCTGTGGAGCAACGAGTCGAAGGAAGAGTTTCGGCCGTCCAACAACAAATTGAAGATAGAGTTTCTGCAGTTGCCAAAGAAGTGGATACTTTAAGAAATTCGTACGACAGCAGGAGCATGTGATGATTTAAATTCTTACGATGCTGCTCGTCCATCTCTGAAGCGATCCACATATGATGGGAAGATATCCTGGCAAGTAGATAAGACCCAGTTTTCTATTGTTGCAGATGCGAATGGATGGGACTCCCAAGCTAAGGCCTGTCATCCCGCCGCTTCTCTGAGAGCAGACGCAGCGGATATCCTGCAGACGCTTCTCGAAAATAAAAAACTAGATTTTGAAGCTCTATCCGGAGCTTTGGAGCTGCGCTTCGGCGAGAAACATTTAAAAGACTACAGTAGGCTTCAATTAAAATCCCACCAGCAGAAGCCAAACGAAACACTTCAGGAACTCGCCACGGATGTTGAAAGGCTGTCCCACCTCGCCTTTACGGAGCGCCCGAGAGAAACGAGGGAAATCCTGTCGCTGCAATATTTCATCGATGGCATCTGGGACTCTGAAATACAGAAAGCACTGCGAATGGCGGATGTTAAAGATTTGAAAAGCGCTTTAGTGTATGCCATGAAATTCGAGGCAGCCCAGCAAGCAACTCGAAATGATCGCTACCCAGTCACAGCTGTGCGAGTCCATGAGCCAGTAGATCAATTGATGGCTCGTTTAGATGATTTATCCAGACAAGTCGATGCTTTGATACGGAGTAGCAGTGAGAACGAAGTGGCTCTAAGGTGTTGGAAATGTGGTTCTGAAGGTCACTTGCGACGGAATTGCAGAACACTCCAGGGCACGGTTAATAAAGCGGATGATTTGATAAGACCAGTGAATGACTTGAGATGGAGTATTGGTGAGAAGAAACTAACCCATAAAGTGCTGGAACTGCGGTGTTCGAAGGCCACATACGAAGGAACTGCAGAACACCCAAGAGCACGGTAAAATAAGAGAGGCGGGTTAAACAGACAATTAAATGTCATGGGACGGAAAAGAGAGTGACAATTTTTCCTTAGAAACTAAAGTGCTGGAACTGTGGATCTGAAGGCCATGTA